GTGGCTGTTGATGTTGGTGTGGCTGTTGCTGTTGGGATGGCCGTTGCTATTGGGATAGCTGTGGATACAAGAAGACACCCTTGAATAAAAAGGGAGGATGTGGGCAAATCAGGAGGCTGCCTTCCAAGATCAGTCTCCATTAAATGACCAGATTCTGGCTGGTTAGCTGCTCTCTCATCAATATGGTAAGCTATCTCCCAAGTCAAACTCTCTTTTCATGTGGATCTTATGTTTCTCAGGTGTATGGGATCCAACTAAGATGATATTCTCTGCTTCTGCCTAGTCACTACAAATTTAACAATATTTAAATTATGCTAAAATGCAAACACTTGCAGTCAGCCTTGTGCTGGGGAAAACAGTCATTTTTCTTACTTGCTTCTGCTTTGTTAACTTTTCCTAGATGTGGAGTATCTGATTAAGCTTGCCTCATTGTCATTGATAAGGACACAAAATTAGGAGGTCAAATAAAAATTGCTAATATATATGACCCAACTGTTGATAAAGCGTAGCTTGGTACCAGCGTGAATGTGTGTCATATTTGCGCAAAAACTTTGCAGACATAATTTTCAGTTACAGTGGATTTACACATGTAATTAGGAAATATGTATGAGAGAGATCAAACAACAACAGTAAAAGCACTAGAAGTGAGGACAGAGAAAAAAACAGGAAATAGAAATGTATATTAAGTAACACAAATGTCAACTCACTGACTAGATGTGGGGTCTTCGACACTGCCTCTGCAAATATAAGAAAATCACTGTCAATAGCTATTTAATACTAATTATGTTCATTTCCCCTGATCCATCCCTGATCTGTCCCTGATCTTCTTTGTTGCACAGAGTGTTTCCTCTGGTTTTTACTTTTTTTTTTGTTCTTTGTGGTACTAAGAATCGAACTTTGTACTGAGCTACATTCCCAGCTTTTTAAATTTTTATTTTGAGACAGTGTCTCACTAAGTCACTAATTTGACCAGGCTGGTCTCAAACTTCCGATCATCTTCCTCAGCCTCCCACAGTGCCAGGATTATAGGTATGCACTTCCATACCTGGCTGTCCTCTGTTTTATAACATGTGTCACCAGCTTGCTCAGTGAGTCATCCTGATACTTTCTAAGGGCCTGGAGACTGTTCTAACAGCTTCTTACACAAAGCAGACCTGAGACCTTTGCAGTTCTATGAACTATGCCTGTTTTCTATTGTTGGCAAGTAGTGTAGAATCTCACTACTTATTCAGATGATTACCGAACATCTCAAGCTTCAGTTTCCCCATCCATGAAAGGGGAATGACCATGGATTTGTGTCATAGTAACACATCCAGGGAGCTTAAAATGCTGCCTGGCACATAATAGGCATTCAATAAATATTAGCTGTTATTTTGAGTATTCTGATCATTGTTATTGTTGCTAACTTGGGCACTTTATGCTTCAACAGAAACCCTTAGCTTTGCTCTGTCTCCAGGGCACATACCCTGCACTTCCCATCTCTAGACTCATACTGTTCTTGCTCCTGATTGCCCTTTCTCTACTTATGGTCTCACCAACTCCAATGCTAAATTCCCCTGAGGTTTTCATTAATCTATGCAGCCTGTGCTGCTTTCTCTCTCCTAATGTCTTTTCCTGAGATGTATGCATGTGCCAATTTAATATATCCTATATGTTCTATTGTATGCCTTAATCCATTGTATTCCTTTTGTCCTCTATTGCATCATGTATATTTGTCTTCAACTTCATTTAAGTTGGGCATAAACTTCTCTTAGCCTGTGACTGCACCCTCATCTTCTGAAAATCCTTGAGTGCCCAGTCTAGATTCAGAGTAACATCAGAAATGACTTCCTAAGGAACCAACTGTGATGAGATGTATGTAAAACTAGAAAGCTCACAACAAATTTGCCAGTTATCAAGCACCTAGGATGTGCTAAGGTGCACATCTTGCTGTGTCGTTGTATGTAAACTCCACAACAAACCTAAGAAGTGTGGCTTTCCTGTTATCCTCATAACATAGGGAAGGAACGGAGGCCAGAAGAGGTCAAGTTCCTTGTCCAAGATCACTGAGTGAGTCACGGTTTCCAGGCAGACATTTCAATGCTGTGGTTTCTCACCACCTTACCTTTGGTTGCAGAATAATAGTAAGCAACGAAGTTTTTCCCTATGTTGTTGAACCCTCGGAAGTACACAAGGGTCATTGAGCTAGAGGAGGATGAGTAGGTGAGGTAGAAACCAGAGCAGGTCTTCCCCAGAGACTTTGCTGAAGATGGAGGGCCATCCAGGATTTCAAAATATTCATTGGTGCAGTCAAGGCTAAAGAAACAAATACCCACGAATGCTTAGTCTCTTTATCAGCAGATATAGGAAGCATGCTGTGAGACACTATTTTGTGACTATGAAGAAGCTGGCAACAGGGGTTGGGGATTTAGCTCAGCGGCACAGTGCCTGCCTGACAAGCACAAGGTCATGAGTTCAGTTCCCAGTACCGGAAAAAAACCAAAAAAAAAAAAAAGAAGCTGGCAACAGTTGAAAGCCCCATTAGGGTTGCAGAAGCAGTTTAGATACTTCAATCCTATTTATTTTCTCAGAGAGCCACTGCCTAAGAACAGGATTTTATCTGGGAGAGGAGAGAGCAGGCTAGCTCTAGGTATAACCCTGCTGAAGGTCTCAGGGAAGCTGAGGCTGCAGGGTACCTCACAGCCTTGGGTCAATGGCAAGGCCAGGCCAGGCTAATGAAAGTACTTTCACCACATGGTGACCTGGGGGTGAGGAGCAGCATGGCGGCAGGCGTGGGGGTAGGCTGCTCAACCTCTTGTGGGGTGCAGGTCCAGGTTCCAAACAACACATTGACAGGCTTTTGGCAGTAACCTGCCTACAGGGAAGTGAGTAATGATTCTGCCCAGCTCCCTTTGTGGAAGTCATCTGATTTTTTTCCATTCACAGTTGTTCTCTGTGAATTTTTGTACTGATGCTATTAGCACTGGAATCAGAAATCGTCTCTACATTCCAATTCTGTGAGTAATCCTTTCCAAGCTATCATTTGATTAAGCAAAGTTCAAAAGTAAAAGTAATTTAATTTGTCCTTTGTGATTATTTTACATTGGCCATTCATCTATGAATGAAATAAATATTGTATAGCTATACCATTTAAAACCTCAAATTTCCTGACTTAATAGGTTTGGGGGTACTCTGGAATCTTCATCTTTTACCAGCTGTTCAGAACATACATAGGCTATATCTCTGTCTCTTTCTCCTTACACACACACACACACACACACACACACACCCCTACCCAAAGCCTACAAGACAAATTTTATTTCAATTAAAAGTTCATGAAAGTATACAAAAATAAATCATATTTCTATGTAGGAACAACAAATGTAGAAATTGAAATTGAAAACATCATCATTTATTGTGACTCCAACAATAATAAAGAAATACCTACATATAAATCTAAAAATATATGCAGGATTTGAGTACAGCTACCAGAAACAGCTAACAGAAAAAATAATACAGATCCTAGGTAGGATGTGAGAAAAACTGGATCTCATATGCTGTGGGTAAAAATGAGAAATGGGAGTCACTGTGAAAAATAGTTTAGGATGTTCTTAAAAAGCTAAACATGTTCCTTCCATACAAGTAATAATCACACTCATGGACATTTATCCCTGAGAAATGAAAACTTACATTCACATTCACATAAAAGCTTGTATGAGATTGTTTATAGAAGGTTTATCTCTGATAGCCCAAGACTGAAAACAACCCAGATGTCTGTCAAGGGGGAAAGGATTAAACAGACTCTGC